GTCGGCTTATCACAAGAAAACGCTCACAGATGGCGTAAATGCCACGGGCTGGAGCATAACAAGCTTAAAGGTAGCAGTGTTACAAATTGTAGTTCATTTGGATATGGGCCCAAATCGTCTACGTGAAAGCTGCGCAAGGTAATTATTTAGAAGCTGCGAATTATTGCTGGTTGGTGAGTGTGAGTCGGGGATATCAATTTTTTGGATATTTTTTTTTTGGGGGGGGAGGCGAACCGAAGCCACGACAACCCTACCCCCCATTGTTTTTTCACCAGATTTAGCCCACTGTACTTTGATTAAACGCAATATATGCTTTTAATCTTTGTGTAAGTTGCAAAAGTCTTTAATTTAATCAGTATAGAAGTAATACAGGGCGGGATCCAGGGAGCACACACCGGACGCAGGCGTCGCTTCTGATCGGCGCGTGGAGACGCCCCTTTAGAGGCTACATTAAGGCGCCGACTGCGCTCATCTACGACGGTCATGACAGGCGGCACGCATTTTGGTTGTGGGGGACGGGAACGGGGCTGGTCACGAGGACTTAAGTCATCTCCATATTCCAGAGTTTTTCACTTTGACCTCACAAACCATTACGTGTCTCATGGTGTTAGGTATGTGAAATTTATTGCATCGTTTCTCCGCTCAGCTATTACGATTTGTATCTTGTGGGGCGAGCAGCCACGACTTTTTGTTATGACAGTGGTACGGGGCGCCACTACGCAGAAAGATCAAAGAAGATAGTCTTTGTATTATGATCATCTTTTAACCACGCTCTTTGTAGTATTCCAGCCAAAGATATGGGGCGGGGACGAGCCAACGTTGTGGGGAAGGGGCAGGGTCCTCACAAAAGAATACATATCGGCACCTGTACTGTGAGTAGGTAATGTGGGCCCAATTCTAATTCTAATTCGGTGCCCTCCAGTAGTCGTTGAGTTGATCACATCGTAATCAAATAATTGTATGCGCGGTTTCATCATGAAGTGAAACACATATAACGTAATATGCATGCACACGGACGCTCTCGCCTTTTGTCGAAGCTAAGTTCTACTGCCCACTGAATAATAAAACAGAAAGCGATCGTTGCTCTGTTAAACCAACTTGGCCTTGTGGTACCACTGAAAGGTGGTGGCGCCCGCTGGACAGCTCCCGGCCAATTTCCGTCCAATACTGAGTGCTGATCGGTCGTCCCAACTGACCGGGGCCCGTAGATCCTGGTCACACCGACGGCAGCGCGCCGCCACCGCCGCCAGCCCTCGGAAAAGTCACGTGCTGTCGCCGCCGTAATCGAGTGATGTCGCGAACGTGTTCCCCAACAGCCGTCCAAAGTGCCGCAATTCTCTTAGGCAACGTTAAACCTTTGAAACTTTCGAAACAACAGCTGACGCCCTGCTTCCATTTGGATCGCCGCCACGTGAAAACTTTGCGGGGCGGCGAGCGCCATCTGGTGGCCATTCGGGGCGAACGGTGCTTCGGCATCTGCAGCGAGGCCCGCTGGCGTCCCAAATTAGCTCTCATACTCAGCATCGCGGCTAATGCCACCATAATGGAGTTGATCAGGCATTCTCCTTCCCCGGCCAGAGTTAAGGCCTTGAGCCAATTAAATTCGTCCACGTCGCTACCCTGATTCAGGCTGGCCAATGAGGTGTTACGAGCGCGTACAGCACTGACGAAGATAACAGTTTAAAAAGCAAAAAGGCGGCCGAATTAAATAGCGGCCAAATTGCGGCGAAATACAGAGGCCGCGCTAGGCGATAATGGAGTAGCCCTGTCATTTGGAGCCGTTGTAATGGAAAACACGCGATGCGATCGGCAGAGAGGAGTGCGAGAGGTAGTAATTTGCCGCCCAGGACCGGTCCGCGGCGCCGCGGCATCTGCGCTGCATGAAAGCAGGCAGAGAGGGGAGGGAGGCGACGAGAGAGGCAGGGGGAGGAAGGTGGACAGAGGAAGAAGAAAGCAGATTGAGGATGCGAATCGAGAGCAGATTACGGATGGACAATGGGGCCAGTATGATGATTGAAACTGAGATCATACTGGGGCCAGACATGCATAGCAGGCCACGGCTGGAAACCGACAGCAGCTTGACTCTTAAAATTGGGAACTCACTGAGCTGGAATTAAAGAGCAGGAAGAAGCTGACGTGGACGGAGACGGAGACGTGCACGGAGAGGGGATGATGAGAGCAGAACGACACCAGAGACTGATATGGTAATATGTGGGTATTTAGAGCACAACGCGTCTGACTCTGTCTAGCGATTGAACGTGCTTCGTCTAGCAATCGGCAGCAAAAATTGCGTCAACTTGCGAGCAGTCTTGTGTGAGATCGCGGGCAGACGCGGGATGGGGATCACGAATAGATCCGACTTGTAAAGTGGACCAGACCAGGAGACTTAGAGCAGGCCGAAGCAGCAGATCGAAAGAAGACCAAGCCTGCAGACTGAGAGCAGCTCGAGGTCGGCTCGTGACGTCGCCCGGCTCTCCGGCGTCACGACGCGGACCTCACGGACCGGCCCGTGAGACGCCAGCTCGTGACGTCGCCCCGCCCGCCGTCATCACGAGGCGGGGGTCGCAGAATGGCCGGCGAGAGCGCCGTTAACGGAGCGCGTCCGGCCGGCCGAGCGCTCGTGAGACGCCCGCCACGGCTGACCGCTGCCGACTCCGACCACGTCCCCAGCGCGCGAGCGCGCGCGGCCGCCGGATGAGCCGCCGCCGGCGGGGGGCGCGACCGGAAATGTCCCGCTGGCGCGGGGCGGGGCCGTCGCCGCTGTTCAGGCATGTCCTCTGGCAGCGTGCCTCCTCCGCGGCTGGGAAGGAACACTGACGCCTTGCGTTGACACAGCGTGGTTTTGGCGCGGGGTGTGTTTTACATCGTTCATGAACTGGATTGACACATCGATCGAGTCAACCAGCGCGCGAATGCCCCTATTTGAATAATCTGAGCAGGATGGCACAGCCGACGAACAATCTGAGCAAGATAACAAAGCCGACATCCCCACAGCGTTGCCATGGATTAAGCACATCGTCTCCTCTGATCACGATCGGACCATAGCATACCGTGACACGCCGATGACCGGGGACCGAGTTGGTGACGGACCATTACGACTGCACTGTGGCGGACGGAAAGTGTCAAATACCGCGGACAGACACATCGTTGCGGATGTACAGTGGCCGACGTCGCCAGGTTATGACGGACACACTGCAGCATGCCTGCCTGTCGTTACGGTTAGCCATTGACGGGTCGTCACGGACGGAGAGTGAGCCAGTGACAGACCATGAGCCACTGCGATTGAGCAGGGCTGTCTAGAAGACAGCAGTCCCCCACATGTCACGACCTGTGTCGTCTTATATGTTACGACACATGTCGTCTTATATGTCACGACCTATATCGTCTTGTATGTCACGAACTATGTCGTCTTACATGTCACGACCCATGTCGCCTCACATGCTACGATGGCCGTTGGTTTGATTAAGCATACGGAAACGGAACAGATCCGATCCATCATTGCACCGGCTGCCGACAGACATTACCACATGCCATTCTCACATCCTTTCACCGGCCGCGCCATCCTCACATCCCGCCGCCGGCCGCGTCGCCCTCACGCCCTTCCACCGGTCGTGTCATCCTCACATCCCGCCACCGTGTCATCCTCACATCCCGCCGGCCGTGCGGTTCTCACATCCCGCCGGCCGTGCGGTTCTCACATCCCGCCGGCCGTGCAGTTCTCACATCCCGCCGTCGGATATGTACCACCCTCACACCCCGCCGCCGGCCATGTCGTCCTCATACCCCACCCTCGGTTGTGTATTATCACACCCCGCCGCCGGCCATGGGTCGTCCTCCATACCCCACCTCGGTTGTGTATTATCACACCCCGCCGCCGGCCATGTCGTCCTCATATCCCAGGCTCGGCTGCGTATCATCACACCCCGCCGCCGGCCATGTCGTCCTCATATCCCACCCTCGGTTGTGTATCATCACATCCTGCCGCCGGCCATGTCGTCCTCATATCCCACCCTCGGTTGTGTATTATCACATCCCGCCGCCGGCCATGTCGTCCTCATATCCCACCCTCGGTTGTGTATCATCACACCCCGCCGCCGGCATGTCGTTCGCATATCCCCGACCCTCGGTTGTGTATATCACACCCCCGCCGCCGGGCCATGTCCGTCCTCTATCCCACCCCTCGATTGCTGTATCATCCCATCCTGCTGCCGGCCATGTCGTCCTCATATCCCACCCTCGGCTGTGTATCTATCATCACACCCCGCCGCCGGCCATGTCGTCCTCCTATCCCACCCTCGGTTGTGTATCATCACACCCCGCCGCAGGCCATGTCGTCCTCATATCCCACCCTCGGCTAGTGTATCATCACACCCCGCCGCCGGCCATGTCGTCCTCATATCCCACCCTCGGCTGTGTATCATCACACCCCGCCGCCGGCCATGTCGTCCTCATATCCCACCCTCGGTTGTGTATCATCACATCCTGCTGCCGGCGGCGCGTGAAATACGTCCAACGTGTCCTTGGCGTCACCAAAGCTGACAAGCACAAACTGTTCACAAACCGCGCACAAACCAACGCCGTGTCCGCCTCTCTGAGTCGGCAGAGCGTGTCGGCTACGTATCCAGCGCCACTGTCCCCAGTGTCGGCTCAGGGGGGCGGGGAACACGCGTCGATGCCGCCTAAAGACGCCCCGGGGTGTCCGGCTGCTGGGTCAGGTTTACAGCCAGCCGGTGCGTCAAAAGAGCGTGGGGCGCGTGGGAACGGCGCACGTGGATTCCTTTGGTCAGCCACTGAAGCAGTATAGCGATTGTGCGCCGTTACACACGTGTCGTTTGAGCCAGGGACCCTCATTTAACGATATCGAGCGCGTTTCTAACGTCTTTTTGACACCATCGTGAACTACGTGATATAGGGAGCGCTGGAATGAACTAAAAACAAGAAGAACGTGTAAAATAGACGACTCGGAACAGCCGGTCCTTCAACATCACATTCTTTCCAAACGCCCTCTTCCACTTTATTGAAAAATATTAAAAACCACCCTCAACCACCGAATCAGCATCGCCAGTGTAAGCAATGTCTATCCAACGGCTGTTTGCATCATAAACAGCACTAGTCTGATGAGGACTTGCGGGCCGGAACAACGGAGTTTAAAGTATTATGATACATGCTATAGATACGGCGTTATTGTAACACCTCACACAAAAAAGTAGTTCCACAAAGCTGCAACCATACAGGTTCAATCAGAGAAGAAATCAGACGAGAAGTTTAGGAGGGGGGGGGGGGGGAATGAGTCAAAGCAGGGCGTCAACGAATCGGTACAAGCAAGCATCAACAAGACCAATTCGCGATTGAATAAACACCAGTAGCGACCCCGCTACCAGCTTCAAGGCCCTCAGAGGCGTCGCAGCCGCGGAACACCAGCCGTCCTGCCCTCACTCCGAGGGCGAACATCTCACTGGCATACAAATTCTGTTATATCGAGTGACATTCAATTTATCATACGGCAGCGTTCGATAAATTCTTCTCGACAATGAAAAACGTGCTAGGGTGTTGGTGGTTTTAAATGAAGTCCTCATAGTCGTCGTATGCAGATTTCTGAAAAGCGAGCGCCATCTGTTACTCTCCCGCCGAGTTACAGGTGATGCCACCAGGCGCCCACCAACCGACTACAGCGAAAGCGGCATTTGTCAGCCTATTCTCGTATTTTACTCAACCCAAGACCATACCAAACCCAGTGACTGACTGGAACGAGAAAGGACGAATCCCACGTAGAAAAAGGCAAACTTCATAGCACTGCTTATAAGAACACTGCAATAACTTGCCCTCGTCCGGATACGCGATATTGTCTCATAAAGGGCAACCAATCACAACCGACCGATTGCAATATATGAACTTATTTTCCAAACAAATGCATTCGGTGCTGCACGTACTACGGGCAAGCGTAGCGACTCACCTCAACCTTGATTGAGGCACCCTTCTTGCCCTTTTTACTCTTGCCCTGTTTGCTCTTGACCTTGTCGTTGTAGAGTGCATTGAGTGACGTGCTGACCTTCTTCACGTCATCAGAGTCCACTGGAAGGCAGGGCACACAGGTGGTTCAGAACTGGACACCAGCGCCCGCCGGCGCCCCAGTACCGTGGACACAAGCGTCCGCCGCCGCTCCAGTACCGTGGACACCAGCGTCCCCGCCGTCCCGGTATCATGGACACCTGCGTCCCCGCCGTCCCAGTATCATGGACACCTGCGTCCCCGCCGTCCCAGTACCGTGGACACCTGCGTCTCCGCCGTCCCAGTACTGTGGACACCTGCGTCCCCGCCGTCCCAGTACCGTGGACACCAGCGTCCCCGCCGTCCCGGTATCATGGACACCAGCGTCCCCGCCGTCCCAGTATCATGGACACCAGCGTCCCCGCCGTCCCGGTATCATGGACACCAGCGCCCGTCGCCGCACCAATACTGTGGCACACGCCACAGCAAGTCGCTCGCACGCTCAAACTCCTATGAGCCCTCCCTGTCTCATGCCGGAGGGTACACTGGTTTCTCAAATGGGTGGCTGCGGTAGCCCAAGGCCACGGTACGTGACGGCTGCCAACAACCACCGGGACATGAGCAATCCCACAATGAAAGTGACCAACACGTAAGCGATGTCGCTCATTCTGCTAGGGCGGGCTGAACGGCACCTTCCGCGTCCATATAGACAAGAGAAGTGCGAGACAAAATGCCGAGCCCTGTGACGCAGGCAACAAACGCCATCACACCGCACCGCCACACATCACACGCAACACGCAACGGCTGAACTGTGTGTTCGGCCAGGCTGGCTGCAGCAGACAGCGCCCCCACTGACCGCACGGACATCGCTCAGAGGGCAGCCCATACGGCTCCAGCAGAGGTGGGGCTGAGTCGCGGTTCCAGCAGAGGTCGAGGGGGCGGGCACTCACGGTTCCAGCAGAGATTCGGGGGCGGGCACTCACAGTTCCAGCAGAGATCGAGGGGGCGGGCACTCACGGTTCCAGCAGAGATCAGGGGGGAGGGCACTCACGGTTCCAGCAGAGATCAAGGGGGCGGACACTCACAGTTCGAGCAGATATCGAATGGGTGGACACTCACGGTTCCAACAGAGGTCAAGGGGGAGGGCACTCACGGTTCCAGCACATATAGAATGGGCGGACACTCACGGTTCCAACAGAGGTCAAGGGGGCGGGCACTCACGGTTCCAGCAGAGGTCGAGGGGGAGAGCACTCACGGTTCCAGCAGAGGTCGCGCACCAGCTCCTCCAGGAAGCCGGTATACAGAACGGACGACTCGAGCGAGCGCAGCTTCTCCACCAGCGCCGTCCGGTAGGCTTCGAACGACTCCTTGTCGGTGGGCGTGGCGTCCAGCGGCGAATCGGACGGTAGGTCGCTCTTGCTCACGCCTAGGGGCATTCAGCGAAATCAGTCACCAATCTGTAGACCACAACTGGCGCTCTCTGCACACGGGATCATGCCGGATCCAGGCCATGTATCTGACGTCTGGCCGTGTTCACTGAGATTGGTGCAAAACGGCAACGTGACTGCGGATGTTACAATGCGTTTAACACATGATACTTGGCACTTGATCACGTCGAGGGGGGGGGGGGGTCGTTTTTCCCCGAAAGCAAACATGTCATTCGGGACGACTGCCAAAATACCAGTTCTGAAAGGCGATCAGGCGCGTGGAGAAGCGTGGCCGTCCCTCGCTGGAACACGCACCTGACAAACTGCAGAGCCCTCTCGCCGTCGTCGCGCACATCCCAGTTAAAACGAACGCACAAGACCGATTTCACGCTACATACAGAGCGATACCATTATCCCCAGCTCGGTAAGAACCGCTTCACGAAGACGTCAAGCTTGGTAATCACTGGTTTGGTTTGGAGTCGCATATGGTATCTATAATTCACATTGTGTTCGGCTCGCAAGTGGTTTGATTCAAGGTGGCACAGAAGAAAAGTGGCATGCGCGAAAAATCAAAGTTCCCAGTTGCTTGTGAAGCATGCCTCAAAGTTGTGAAGCTGGCAGGTCAACTGACAGCTTTATGACCTACAGTACTAGCTGATATAAGCTAGGGACTGCGCATGCGCCACCAAAGTTGCAACATCTTTCATTTCTTTGCGCAACTGTTACATATTTTCGAAGGGACTATCGCAGCGTGCCTAGTCACACAATATCCACATACCACGGGGCTTATCTCAGCTACGTATGGGCTGCAGTGCTTGTGAAAATATTTTTGACACATCCCGATTTTCAGGGCATGACCGACAAAATAAGGGATCACACAACTTGTCAGATTCGTACGCATATGCACGTTTTCATTTATATTAAGAAAGAAGGCAATAAGCAGCCATAGACCACCTAAAAATGACGTGAAAAGCATGAAATGCGCGCACATATATTTGAAATGTTATGGTTATATATTTAACATCCCAATATCCTATATGACCCAACGCAATGCTCTGCCTAGATCGAAAAATGCTTGTGACATACGAACAGTAACTCCATATATCTCCAAAAATCATCTGTCCACGGTTATTCCATCTAAAATCGGTCAGGAATCAGTTGCCTTGAATCAGTTCACACCAAGGCGCACAAGCACACAACTAATTATCTCGGGGGCGATCAGACGCCGGTTCTGCGTGTCCAGCGACGTACCGAATGTCTCCATGGCAACCTCCAGGTCGGCGTCCTCCTGCATCTTGAGCGCGCGTGCCTTCTCGGCCAGACGCTCCTCCGGCGTCAGCTTTTTTGCCGCCTCCTCCTCCTCCCGCTTCCGCCGCTCCAGGTCCTCTCGTCGCTTCTCCTGTCGAACACGAGGGGACGGTGTCAGGGAGCGGTGTCAGGGGGCGGCGTCAGGGGCGGTGTCAGGGGACGAGGTCAGCGGGCGGGGTCGGGGAACGGGGTCAGGGCACGGTGTCGGGCGACAGTGTCAGGGGACAGTGTCAGAGGACGGTGTCAGAGGACGGTGTCAGGGGACGGCGTCAAGGGACGAGGTCAGCGGACGGTGTTAGGGGACGTTGTCAGTGCACGGTGCCAGGGGACGGTGTCAGGGGACGGTGTCAGGGGACGAGGTCAGCGGACGGGATCGGGAACGGGGTCAGGGGACGGTGTCGGGGCAGAGTGTCAGGGGACGTTGTCAGTGGACGGTGTCAGGGGACGAGGTCAGCGGACGGGATCGGGAACGGGGTCAGGGGACGGTTTCGGGGCAGAGTGTCAGGGGACGTTGTCAGTGGACGGTGTCAGGGGACGGTGTCAAGGGACGAGGTCAGCGGACGGGATCGGGAACGGGGTCAGCGGACGGTTTCGGGGCAGAATGTCAGGGGACGTTGTCAGTGGACGGTGTCAGGGGACGGTGTCAAGGGACGAGGTCAGCGGACGGGGTCGGGGAACGGGGTCAGCGGACGGTGTCAGTGGACGACCCACTCACCAGGGCGCATCCCGTCCGCGTTGGGGCGCTACTAGGCTTCCAGCGTGTCTCATCAGCACACGACTAGACGTTCATAAATCACTAAATAAGAAACACACTCAACCAGGATGCCCACTCCAGCCCGTTGTGAGTGTGAAACTACATTTTCCCTACCGCAGAAGAAACTGTGACTTTTGTTCCCACCAATCATCAAAGAGCAAGGCAATGTCTGGGTTGATGGCACACGATCATATCCAGGAAGCAAAGTCAACGGGGTATTCAACACGCTGGCCACCTCTGCATTACAAGGCATCCATGCGACCGACCCATCCCGGCATGAGCCTCAGTGAACCATTGCCGACCGGTCCGTCCGCATCGCCCCCAAGCCAGCCAATGTTAGGGGGAAGGGCATCGCGAAGACGGCTCACGATCGTCGCTACTGGTTACCTCCTGGAATCACACTGCAAGATAGACTGCACTTGCACTGAGCGTCGGGTCACAAACGCCCCTCATATTCTGAGAGCCTTGGGCCTGTCCATGCAAGTCTGTACCGCTACTTCCGACGGAACAGTAAATGACAGAACGAAAGCGCCACATCGACCCGTTCCGTTCAGTTGCGTCTCTTGAACAGCAGCGAGCCGTTTTGTGAACGGGCATGAATTCCATGGAGCGCGCACGTTCCCCACCAGTGACGCGCATCGCTGACGGCACGCACCTCCTTCTCAGCTATCCGCTCAGCCAGTGTCAGCTTCTTCTTCTTTGGCGCCTCCTCCACGACGGCGGCAGGCTTGTCCTCGTCGTCCGCCGCCTCCCAGTCATCCTGCGGTCATCAGTCATAGCATCAGCGGCGAATCAGACCGATCTGGTCCGACTCCGAAACACCCGGTGAGCCTCGAAACACGCCGGCCGCAGCGGAGATGAGACCAAAACCACCACTAAAAAGTCGAATGAAGTTCCAAACCAATAGGCGAAAACTGAGGCAATGATAAATGAACAGCAAATACAATCCCACACGACGCCAAATGGTGCCTATCGAACTTTCAGACCCGCATTATCTGACTAAGGCAATATGCATACGGCTATACAACAGCACAAAACGGACTTCCAGAAATCCCGTGGTGGCCGCCACAGTTTTGTAGCCTGTATCCTAGAAAACATTCACCCGCGTGCCGAATACGCCAGGTCAGAACATCACGCCACAATCTGCATGCAGTCGTCCCAGCTCAACTCAAAACACCGCTCCCTCCGACCGAAGAAACTCCTCCACCACTAGGCCAAGGACGTCGATGCCAATCCGGTGGTGGAGCTACGGTCCGGGGGCATGCGGGCGGCCCGCATACGGCCGGCCCTGCTGGCGGCGGCGGCCGGCGGCCCCAGATCGCCGGCGGCGCCCGTCGCGCGCGGCCATGTCCTGTTTGCCGGTGCCGCTGGACGCCGCCTCCGCCGCGGCCGTGGTGGCCGCCGCCGCCGCCGCGCTCCTGCTCAACCTCTGGACGGCCGGCTGGCTGCGGCGCGACGCGCAGGCGACGCCGGCGGCGGCCGCCTGCCTGCTGGAGGCGGCGGCAGCGGCGCTGCTGGCCGCCGCCGCCGCCGGCGCCACGCCGCTGCCAGCCGCGCTGGTCGTCTGCGGCGCCGCGCTGCTGCCCGTGCCGGCCGCCGCCCTCTCGCTGCTGGGTGGCGTGATGCTGGCGCGCTGGCCGGCGACGCCGCGCCGCCGCCGGCTGGCCGCCGCCGCAGTCACCGCCGCCGCGCTGCTGGCGCCGCTGGCCGTCAGCGTCGCCTTCACGCACCAGCAGTGGCGGACGGGCGCTGAGCAGGCTCCGGCGACCGCGCTGCCGCCGCCGGCACCGGCCGCCGAGACCGTGCCGGAGGGGACCGGACCTCGGGCGGCGGCGATGACGGAGATCAACCGGCGGCGACAGCAGCGCAGACCCAACGACAAGAGAAGCAGGTGGTTTGCAGACAATGTCGTCGGCACAGGCGAAGCCAATCACGTCGCAGAGAAGGCGCTGGCGCATGCGCGATCCATTCGAGGAGTGCGGAAGACCAACGGCGGCCTGCTCGCGATCACATCTCCAGCTATTAACAGGTCCACCACCAACCTGCCATTATCTGCGCTGCAGCCCCAGGGCACCCCGTTCCCGGCGTTGACGGCCACCGACGTGGCGCGCCTGAGAGACTACCTGCCAGGCCCGAAGCCGCCGGCCTTCGGTCGGCAGCTCTTGCCCTCCCTGCCACCAGCAGACACGCCGTTCGACCCCTCTGACGTGCTGAAGGACGTCTACTTCATCCACCTGCTGTACAAGTACGGCAGGAACATCTCCTCCCTGCACGGCGACCAGCCGCTGGCGCCCAACCGGGCAGTGGTGCGCCAATCCCTGCGCCTCATCCTCGATGCCGTCAACAGGTTCAACCGGCGCACGCACGCGGCCGTCTTCCGACCGGTGGCGCCGCACGACGGCGGGTTCGTGCACTTCCCCGAGGGCAGCTGGCGGCCGAGCGCGCCGCGGCCGCCGCTCGGCGGACCCATACCTGCCGCCCGCCCGGGTCACGCGGGAGTTGGAACAACGGGCGGGCCAGGCCAGGCGGGAGTTCGGCCGGCGGAAGGGCCAATTCAGCCGGCACAACGGCCCAGCAAGCCGGTGTACGAGGCGGGTGGACCAGGCTTTCGGCCAGGTGAGTTCATAGCGCGCGGCGCAGCCCAGTTTCTGAGCGAAAATACAAACATACTTGTCTCAATGGCGTCGTGTAAGCACACAAACCGGAAGCAAAGGCATTTCTCAATTGGGCCGTGTAAGCATACGAACTGGAAGGATAGGCAATTCCCAAATGCGTCATTTAAGTACACAAAAGGGAAACAAAACGATTTTCCTTATTCTCTTGATTTTGGAGTCGGGATAAATAAGACACTTCGAGGGGACCAAGTTCTGTATGGTGCCTGAGTTCAAAAGACGCAAATCAAAAGTTCGTACGCTGGTTCTTTCGTTTTATGCAATCATGCCCTGGGTCCAGGTTCACGAAAGTTGAGTTGACGCTGAGCTGGTTTGCAAGTCATGGCTGAGTTCAAAGGCGGTTCAATATGGTTCATTTCAAAACAGAGGTGGAAACAGCTGACTGAAACTGAGACCACGGCAGCTAAGTCAACACGCCCGTGTCACACCTGTGCAATCAATGCCAATACAGCATTCAATGATGAAGTGTACTGTCGCACCTAATGTACATCTAACTAGTCCGAAGACAAACAACCCCACACCTGTCAAGCGCTCGCGCAGACGGGGAGGGGGGAGGGGGATCGGGAGAACGGCGGCATCTGACCCGTCTCCGCCGCCCTTCAGAGGGCGACCAGTACACCAGCGGGCAACCAGAGCCCGTCCAGGAGCCGGCCCCACCTCTCCCAGACCCGGGGGTGCCGGACCACCTGTCCGCCGGCGACACCAGCAACGTCAGTGTCACCATCCGCATCCCTGGCGTGCTGGAGACGACGTCGGCCGAGCAGAGCGCCGACGCCGTGCTCGTCTGGCTGCGGCGGCTGCGGCGGCTGACGTCCGGCGGCCGGCGCCACAGCCTGCGCGCCGTGGCCGTCACGCTGGAGGCGGCCGCCGACGGCGCCGGCCTGCGGCTGCGACTGCAGGAGGACTGGCGCGTCTCGGCCCAGCTTGAGCGTCGGAGGCCGGCCGGCCGACGACGCATCCGGGGGAGCTGGTGAGGCAGAAGCTGCGGACGGGGCGGAGGGAGGCGACGGCGAGGGAGCAGCCAGTGCCGCACCCGAGGACGGAGCGGAGGGAGGCGTAGGCGAGGGGGGAGCCGGTGTCGGAGCCGAGGATGGAGCGGAGGGAGGCGTCGGCGAGGGAGGAGCCGATGTCGGAGCCGAGAACGGAGCGGAAGGAGGCGACGGCGAGGAGGGAGCCGGTGTCGGAGCCGAGGACGGAGCGGAGGGAGGCGTCGGCGAGGGAGGAGCTGGTGTCGGAGCCGAGAACGGAGCGGAGGGCGTCGACGAGGGGCAGTCGGCGGAAGCAGCGGAAACAGCGACAGGACCGGACAACGGCGTCGGACACGCGATCGAGAGCACCACAGTCACCCCCGACGATGACGCAGATACTTCTGGTCCTCTTGGGACTTCGGTGCCGGTGCAAGACGGGACGACCGCAAGCCTCACGAGAGCACCGACTCTGCCGTCACAGACATCGGCCACCCCGACAGGCGACAGCTCCGCAGACACCGAGCCAGCAGCGCCAGAATCAGCCACGACGGCAGCGACTGCCTCTACGGAAACAGCCGAAGCCACAGCCGGTTCGGACCTGTCCGTGCAACCGCCGGTTACCACCAATCCCGAGCCGGGCCAACCAGTGACGTCAGCGGATCCCGAGCCCAACCCAGCCGAACCCAGCACGGCCCCAACCGTCGGGGAGCAGATCATCTCCCAGGCACTTGTCCCGGACGCCTCCACGCCTCCCGCCGGCGGCCCGGACGTACCGACGCCTCCCGCAGGCCCGCCGCCACCGCCGCCGGCGTCCGACGCTACCCCAACCGCTGCCGTCGCCGCCGCCGGGGCGCCGGACGGGCTGGCCCTGCGTACGCCGCCTCCCAGCGCCCTCATCACACGGACACCGGCCCGTCCCTGCGCCGGTCGCGCCGGCGCCGGCTGGGCGCTGGTGCTGGCCACGGCGCTGCTGTGCGCCGTCGCCGCGCCGCTGGCCGGCCTGGCGCTGCTGTGGCGCGCGCCGGCCGACGGCGCCGCGCGCCGGCTGCGCGCCGGCCACGCGCGCCTGCTGTGCGCGCTGCCGGCCACGCAGCTGCCGCAGCTGGTCGGCCTGACGCTGCAGCTAGCCGGCGTGGCGCCGCTCGGCGGCCCGCTGCTGGCGCTGCTGTACGCCGTGGCGGTGGCGTACGCGCCGGCGCGCGCGCTCGTGCTGCGCCAGGTGTACGGCCACGAGGCGGCGGGCTGGTGCCGGCCGCGCCGCGGCGTCTCGCCCGCCTGATGGCCGCACCGATGGCCGCCGAGGGCTGGCTCTGTCCCGCTGACTCTTCATGTCAATAGCATAAGCTGCGCGAAACGAGCGGCGTCGAGAGGTGGATGCGAAATGTAAGCGGAATGAGAGAAATCACTGAACGGTGTGTGGAACGGTATCCTGCGCGGGCAGAACGTCCTCGGGGACACAAACAGCTTGGTCCTAACAAGGATCCTTGACCCTTGCCATCACGTGTGTTGATGGCAAGAATATGTGCACATATGTAAGATATGCATACATGTTCCATGTTCATGTTACCCGGAATTCAACCGGCCGATTCCTCAGCGATTTTCTTTTAAAATAGGCCCTACCATAGTATGATGGTCAAAAAGTTTTTTTTTAAAAACTGGACTGCTTGTATTTAAAACCTGACTGCTTGTGTAATTGGGCTTTTGCTTGTGAAATGCTTATGTCTGAAATAAACAAATGAACAAAGGTAACTTCAATATGCAATTAGGTTTTCCTATGGTTGTTTGCTATGGTTAAATCTTCGTAGCTGCATGTGAGTCAGAGCAACATGAAACTCTCTCAGTTCACTGTACTTAGGTTCATGTGCTTGAACTGCTTAACTTCCCAAGCATCACCATTTCAAGCTTGTAATGCCAAAAACCCAGGAGCCTGATATATTCCTTGCTTGTATCCAGTATAAGTTTTCAAGGTTTCAAAACTATAGGCTTGTTGTAACATACATGCATGGGAAAAGCACAGAATCATTGTACCAGCTTCCAAAACATATTTAGGCACTTAGTCCCAAAATCTTAATTGCATAGATTTTGGGGATCAGAGCGAACACTATGAAAAGGCTGTTGCATGATCCTGGATTCAGTTGCATAATGCAATTTCAGTCCACTGAGAGAATCCTGTGGCTGCTGTTTAGACCACTGAGCCTGCTGCACACATCTGACCTTGAGTGGCTGCTGCAAACAGCTGGACTCTTCTGGCCAGCTGCCAATAGTGCACACCAAACCAACTAGAACTGTCCCACACAACCAATGGTAGTCTGGGAGGCAGACACTTTATGACAGGGGCAGGCTAAAGCTGTTAGCTTAGGTTGGGCTGAGGGCAGAGCAGGTATTTGAATGGCCATTTGCATGACTATTGACTGGCATTCTATTAGCTACAGGCTTTGGGCAATGGGTTCTGCCCACTGTCAACTCACTGGAGCATCTTCATCTTCATCCTCTCCTGCCCATTTGTCTGTGGTAGCCATACCAAATGTTTTGGGTTTGAAGTCCTCAGCATCTGCAAGATGTGACATAGTTAAAGAGAGCATATTGTGAGAGAGGCATTCATTCTTAACAATCAGATATGAGCTCTTAGCTGATATAGCTTTCACCTACTGAAATCACAGCAACAACACCTCCAATTTCCTACTTCTTGTATGTAAAATGTATCTATCTATTACAGTACCTAACCATTACTGCACCATCATCTCAAACCAAATACTACCATCATCTGGGACCTACTTTAAATGTCTACCTTTATTGAACATCAGATAGCAAAACCAAAGCATACATGCAGGTTATGATGCCAAAGAAGATAAATTACTTAAAATGCTGAAAGCAACATCGGCAATGGAATAAACAGTGTGTTAGAAGACTGAATTTTACCATGAATAGACAGCAAGATACTTCTTTTAGGCAGGTTCTGCTCCCTTAATGACCCACAAAAACATGCCATTGCCAAAATCCAGCGTGACATGCTCAGGTACAGCAAAAAGTGCTAAAATCTAGGATATTATGTCCAAATAAAATTGAGGCCAGACTACAAAAAATACATATTAAGCTGAATAGGACAGGTATTGCAGCATACAAGCAATAATTTTAGAGCACACACACTGTTATCCACCTGCTCAGAATTCAATGCATGGTCACCACCAATATCAGTGCAGAGAACCCACATCTCAAGGAGTTATGTTGCAAAGGTAATTTTTAACAAAAATATCTCACTTGTCAACACTTTCCACACAAAATTATACTTAAAATTCAGCATGATTTGACCTGGTCTGAGTTGAACAAAAACAAGCAAGAGGTTTAGCACAAGTGTCACTAGGGTGTCTGGTACCATGGATGGATTTTTTCAGCCTGGGCATGAATGTGACATGAGCAGCACCAATTCAGGAATGTTTAGCCCAACATTCCAAAAGTATCCCACATTTAATGTTCACTCCCACATCCCAATGTGATTTGGCATGTGTCATATTTTGCGTGCTCACCCACTTATCTGGAAAGCATATTCTCACCATATGGAAATAGTGTAGAAAGATTATGACATTCAGATGTTAAGAAATATACCTTTAAGATCAAGTGTAATATTAATATGATATACATTCACTGAAACATCATGATGGAATGTAACTGGTTGAAACTGGACATACCAATAAAATGCCTCATGATGCTCAGTTCACAAGTTGAGCACATCCAGCAAATACACAAAGTGACCATCTCTCAATGACAATGGTTGCACAATCCCCAACCATCCCTTCCCCAGTAGTGAATTCATTGGATAATTGTTTGTTACAAGATGACAGGCCCGTGGGTGGACTGTGAACATGTCATGACCTATTAGACGAGCCTACTCCTTACCCCATTCGTCGTCCGACATTTTGAAGCTGTAGAACTTGAAACTTGAATGGGGCCAAATCCAATTGGATACGATCGCCAAGCCTTGTCGACGTAAATGACACTGGTAGCTAAGCCTCCCACCGAACACCGTACGTCACTAAAGAACGAGGAGGTGAATCACACTTTCTATTCACCCAGCATGGAACCACGCACCGGGCTCTGGAAACATGTATCATGTGAGTCACCTCGAGGTTTCGCGCCAGATTTGCCGCGACATGGGGCACAGATAGTGAATAACTATTACATCATATCGTCTTTTCTTACCCTTTTCATAAATAATTTTTTTAGAAAGATGCAATATTGCATTCCTGAGCGAAATTACAATGATATGGTTCCATAGCTCAGATAATTTCCAAATGGCCTGCAGCCAAATAGCATTACTATTTTTCAGCTGTAGAGATGGCCATTATGATGGCCATACTTTACAAGGTTGATGCCAAATACATTCAAATCATAATATTCTCGTATATTGTCTGACGAAAATTGGAAAGGATGTTCAAAATTAATATGAAAAATATGTTTTAACTTTTTAAAAGTTGGAAACCCACATTACTTTATCCGTTTCTTCAGCAAAAGAACCCCATATTACAAAGTATGACGAAAAATGTCCACACCTATCAATATTGTTACAATAATGAATTGCAAAATACTTTTCTGGCGCACTTATCTGCTCAGCCGCGTGCCTGGCCCCTCTAGCTTTCATCACTGCACAGGCCGCGTAGAATTAGGGCCGCTTTTTTTGCAAGTACAATACTTGACAAAGTTCAGTCTGACTTGGATTGATTTGAGGACTTCATCTGTGCTGTAAAATGGCAAGTTCGGTTTTTAGGACGCTGGTAAGGAATGGGTTGGGGTTTCGAAACCATTGCTGGATGTTTGAGACATGGCATGAAAATATAAGTAATGAAATGAGTCAAAGTTCTGTTGCCTGCTGCACTTTTAATGGAACTGATTTTGAATCCCAATCACAATGAATTAAACTGAATCCAAAATTGTGCAAAATGACTTCTTGAAGCTCAAGCAACACATTAAAAAATGTTCAATCTGTCTTTTCAAGGTCTCTAAGCCTGGGTCCAGTCTTCAGAGCATGATGGATATTGATGAGTGCTTGTTCGGGCGGGTGAGGTTGAGGTGCATTATTTTTTGTAGTTTCCTAAATTTTGGGGGCAGGATCTCCTTTATTACAATAGCACACATTATTTTGAGGAAGGTTATGGCACCTCAGAGCAGGTATCAAGCTCAGACAGAGTTTGGGCAGAAGCAGAAAATGTGCAGTGCTGCTGGCACAACATATATGCTGGCACAATAATCCACAAGTGGGATGCCTGAGTATTTGGCTGGGTCAGTTATTTTATTATAGAAAGTTTAAAGATTTGGAATTATCTACCATTTTGTTGGCTAACCATAGCAACCAATAAATTCTACCAATTTTGGTGGGTCAAGTGAAAAAAATGGAGCAGGTGGCAGGACCTGAAGTCCATGGCCTCTCAGTTTTCATACAAGTTAGATATAAATCCTATGACAATACATATGTACCATCATTATCAGGAAGCAGAAAAAGTTTGGTTCTCCCACCTTCTGAGTCACCCCCATACCATTAAGGGTTTTACTGCAACCATAGCCAGAGAGGTAATGCAGAAGACATGCAAATTAGATCATCAGGAGCATGTTGGAGACCACACCTTCACCAGCATGGCCCCAACATCCCCAGCCCTAAGCATCTCAAGGATCTTGTAGGCTGCCTGTAACCTTTTGCAAACTGGCAGTAATGCACCCAGGAGAGATCTGAGGGCTCGCCTAGCCTGCCTCCATACAACCAGTAAATGTTTGTATCATGACACTAGCGCTAGAGCAAAAGCTACTACCAACAGAAGTGCTATATGCCAGTTACGCAAAACATTACTTCTTACATAAAAAACTTGCACTGACTTAACTTAGGCACAACATTACTTGTACTGCTAAGAATTATGCACAACATGAGTGCACACAACAAAATTTATATTTCACACACATCATTGCATCTTCTTAGAAACTTACACTGTCTTTTATCATGCATAACATAACCTCTACCATGAAAACTTGTGCACAGCATGAGCCCTGCACAAATAAAATAATGCTTCAAAAATTAATGCTCTTCATTACTTGCAAGCAAATGCATATATAGCCATTGCTTATATGTAATGCTGCTTGTGCTGAAAAACTTAGACACAACATTAATAATAACATGGCAAAGCTTATACTGCAAAAACATATACCAGTCATTAATTATCTGGTAAAGACTTGACCAAAAGTCTTTGCTGTATCACTTATGTTTCACATAAGTCATTGCAATGGAAGAAAAGTTGTGTTTAAGTAATAACTGATATGCCTTTGCACTTAATGTAGGAGTTTTTGTTGTAGCACATGAAACCCTCTCACCCAGTTGATGCATTCAGATACAGGAAGCAAAAGTGGGGAATCTAACTGAAGTGGTGGCATTTCTAAGCATGGATAAAAGAGGATGATTACACACACACACACACACACACACATGCACGCACGCACGCACGCACGCACGCACGCACGCACGCACGCACGCACGCACGCACGCACGCACGCATGCATGCATGCATGCATATATATATATATATATTTCAAGACATCTTTTGGTACAGAGAACACAAATGAAGCATGACAAAATGAAGTAAGACAGAACTGTATTTCCACTTTGATACACATAAGACACACCTGTGATGGGAACACTACAAAGACACAATGAGAGCACTATTGCCATAATCACATGAATAGTGCTCACTGCCTACCACCTAGTAGTTCAAGTGATGTGCAATAACTTATTTGTCTGTTTAGGGCCATAGAGAGTTTGTTGGTGAATATACTTTCCCAAATTTGAAGGTGTCTTCTATCATTGCATGTTCGTAAAATATCGGTGTTGTCTGTCAGTTGTTGTCATGTCAATGTCCTGTCCGTTTCATGTCGCATGTGATCCAGAGGTGCCCCGTCATGTATGTGCATTGTCAGGCGTCGAAAGAGTGTCGTTATGGTCACACCGATATAGTGTATGGAACAAAGTTTGCAGCATTCGATGTTGCATTTGAAATGACAGACTACATTGGCGCATTTTAGTTTGTCGGGTTTGCCTGGGCTGTTTCTGGTAGCAAAAGTATTTTGTCATTACAATAATGAATGATGATGTCTGTTTTGTGGTCATTTTTGCCTTCAACATGTTGACAGGTCAGGCCTTTAACATGTCAACAATTCCCGTAAAGCTTTTTCGTCTGGTTTGAGGGCATATGTCATTTGATCTTGATAATACAGTTTGACGGTTGGCTGGATATCTTGTCTTGGTCTATTTCGTATTCAACGTCAGAAGTTGAAAAAACCCGTTGTTCACCAAGATCTGTCAGATTCTTATAAATTCTGAATGCAGTCCTGTCCAATCAGGGCAGTGTTTAAGTGCACATTTAATGAAGGACCTTATGACGCTAATTTTGTAGCGTCGAGGACACTCACTGTCAGCATTTAAGCACCGTCCGTTGTTAGTCTGTTTTCGGTATACATTGGTTTGAAATCGCTGTTCTTGTCCACCAACAATCGCGTGGAGAAAGGGTGTTATGTTTTGCACACTAAGTTTTTTTAAAATTTGGGGCCAGACTACTCTTCAAAGGTGTTTTTGAGACGTCCTAGTTCGTTGATGTCTGTAACTTTCACAAAGATGTCGTTTACATATCGGCAGCAAATGCCCGGTCTTATGTCGTCATTTTGTAGTTTGTCAGGTCTTACATGTCCCGTAAAGAAATTAGTGAATAAAGGTCCTAGAGGTGAGCCCATCACAACACCCCCAATTTGGTAATGCACTCGTTTGTCAGGCCCGCGGCAAGGAACTTCCAACGTACAGGCTTGTAGTTATTGTTCAAGAAGGCATTTTGATATTTTGAGAGGAGGAATTTCGGGATGATTGTAAACGCGGTCAAGGTTGATAGATATGATTCTTTCAATGGGCACGTACATTTGTAAATGAACTGAAATGTAAAACACTTGAACTATTAGGTGTTGGGCAGTGAACACTATTGATGTGATTGTGGCAATACTGCTCTCACTGTGTCTTTGCAGTGTCTCATTATGAGTGTATCTTATATGTATCGAAGTGGAAATAGGATTCTGTCTTACTTTAATTAGTCATGCTTCATTTGTGTTCTCCATACCAAAAGATGTTTTCCAACAGCAGTGCACAACTTTTATCCATTAAAACATGTATATATATATATATATATATATATGTATATATATATATATATATATATATATATATATATATATATATATATATATATATATATAGCAGGGGCTTCATTGCTTGTGATCTTCTGAGATGTACTTTCAGCCTTGTGCATCAACTGCTTCCTTCCTGGGTTGTGCTTATTCAGAACTGGAGCAAAACTCAGTTCAAGAATGGGCCAAAAGAAATGCTTTGCTGTCTTTTTTCTTGTATTAAGTCAAGATTTGGGCACTTTTGATTTCAAGATTTAAAATATGCAGACACTAACATACATGCATACATACATACATACATACATACATACATGCATACATACATACATACATACATACATACATACATACATGCATACATACATACATACATACATACATACATACATACATACATACATACATACATACATACATACATACATACATACATACATACATACATACATACATACATACGTACATACATGCATACATACATACATACATACATACATACATACATACATACATACATACATACATACATACATACATACACACATACGTACGTACGTACATACATACATACATACATACATACATACATACATACATACATACATACATACATGCATACATACATACATACATACATACATACATGCATACAAACATACGTACGTACATACATACATACATACGTACATACATACATACATACATACATACATACATACATACATACATACATACATACATGCATGCATACATACTTAGCTTCAATGGTCAGCACAGGCAAGCCTGAAGCCCAGTTCAAATGCATCTTGCTCCCATATGATGAAGTCTCCCAATCTTTCATTAACCTGTGTCCCAGTCTGCAAAAGGTGCCAGTCAGCAAAATATTTAGGATGGTCCAGTCCTGTCCCAAATGGGGCAACTGAACTTACGATGTCGTGGCAGGGAGGTCTCCAAAAGTTTCCTGACGATCTGATGTATATTTTCCATTTACTAGTAACCTTTCCTGCTGTTCTGATTGAGATGGATCAGAACTGTGCATACCATCCAACATTTTGCACTGCATGGTAATTTTACTTTATTTACAGCACTGAATAACGCATCAAACATTTTGCAATGCGAACAATAAAAGTCTTGCGGTTCAGCGCACGGTTGTGTACCGCTGGTTTACGTGTTCAGCGCAAGCAGCGGGAGCTGGCGCGAGCGTTTTGCTGACATTTGGTTCCACTGACAGCCTGCAGATGTCCGGTTTCACCCAGTTACGTCCTGGCACCAGTCACATGATAATGATGCATCCTTATATCACCTCACTCGCACCACCCCACATCAGGTGTTGCACAGGATCATCAAGGTAAAAATAATCACATCTTGGCCATTTTATTCCGTCAATTCTTCCCAGCTCTGTACAGGCCATGTTCGTGTGTTCATGGGTGTACTGTCACCAGATAATCTGTGCATGAATGGCGCCACACCCCCGGTCGTGTTTCAGACGGCGCCCCTGCGCCACGCTGGCCGCCGTCAGCTGTCCACGGCCAAGCGGACCGTCACGCTGATCCCGGGCGACGGCATCGGGCCGGAGATCAGCTCCGCCGTCCAGCAGATATTCGCCTCGGCCGGGGTCAGTGCGCCTGCGGCCAGCTGGCGCCGCCGGCTGGGATGCAGTTCTCCACGGCGGGAGCCAGTGACGGGCCGGTCTTTAGTTTGATGCCTGTCTCAGCACAGTGCTGGTGCTCAGCAGAGTGCTCGTGCTGCACCGAAGGGCACATCGATGTCGTGACTGCTGTGCCCGTTCCTCGGCCACGACTGAAACAATGGCGTGTGTTAACGCAGACCGCCGTCTCCCACCGGCCGACCGCTGGCACGGCGCGGGCGCGTGCGGCCCGACCGACCCGTCCCGTGACACGTCCGCTCGCCCGCTCCCAGGTGCCGGTGGACTGGGAGTCGGTGGACGTGACGCCGGTCCGCGGTCCAGACGGCATCTTCGGCATCCCCCAGTCGGCCATCGACTCGGTCAACAAGAACAAGATCGGCCTGAAGGGGCCGCTGATGACACCCGTCGGCAAGGGGCACAGGTCGCTGAACCTGGCTCTGCGCAAGTGAGTGCCACGATGGCGGCACGCACGCGTCCGCATTGCCCGCTTTTGTTCGGGCGGTGCCATGGTTTTCTGGTTCGTGTCATGGTACAGCGCTACCGCGTGGTGGCCGAGACTGCAGTGCTGTTTGAAGATGGAAGCGCAGCATTCAGCTGTTTTCGCTTGGCTTGTGTCGTGCGCGTCGACATCCATCGAACTCGTCGTTAACCGGCCGCCTGACCCCTCCCCTCGCCCCCAGGGAGTTTAACCTGTACGCGAATGTACGCCCGTGCCGCTCCATCGACGGCTACGAGACGCTGTACAAGGACGTGGATTTGGTCACCATCCGAGAAAACACTGAGGGCGAGTACTCGGGCATCGAGCACGAGATCGTGCCGGGCGTGGTCCAGAGCATCAAGCTAATCACCGAGCCCGCCTCCATGCGCGTCGCAGAGTTCGCCTTCAACTACGCCAAGGCCAACGGCCGCAGCAAGGTCACGGCTGTCCACAAGGCCAACATCATGTGAGTCCTCCATCCGCCTGTGGAAAATACCGCGCTCGCTTTTTCAGGTCGGGTTCAGCGTTAGCACATACCGCGTAGGGCACAGGTCGCGTAGGGCAAACCTCGTGCGTTAGATGAAGAAATATTGTCATCGCGCTCACGCTTGTAGCGCAGTGCGCTCGCAGACTTGCGCACGCGCGTGTCCGTTCGCCTCGACTGACCTGCCGTCGTTGACGCGACCTACAACCCACCCCTCCCCCTCCCTCCCCCGTCAGGCGCCTGTCGGATGGCACGTTCCTGAACTGCTGCCGGGTGGTGGCCGAACAGAACCCGGACATTAAGTTCGAGGAGCGCTACCTGGACACGGTGTGCCTCAACATGGTGCAGGACCCGTCGCAGTACGACGTGCTCGTCATGCCCAACCTGTACGGCGACATCCTGTCCGACCTGTGCGCGGGCCTGGTCGGAGGACTGGGCGTCACGCCCAGCGGCAACGTCGGCATGGGTGGCGCCATCTTTGAGTCGGTGAGTGAAGCTTGAATTGCAAGTGCTGCCGCCGGCCGGGTCGTGTGCGAAAGGTGAATGAGTTATCGGCGGAACATATGGATGAGGCGGTGGATGCCGTCGCCGTGCAAACATGCGCACGTGTCGCAAAATTTTGAATCTCTTACTTTGCTTCCACAGCTGGTTGTATTCTACATTTAGGAATGCCATCAGTTTTCATGTCCATTTTAGGGCAAAGCTTAAGGCATGCTCTACCGCAATCCGCGTGAGCTTTGGAAGTCAATCAGACACTGGAGGGACCTCCCTTTGGCCTGCGTCGGACATTTGGTTAAGTTAGCCTCATTGGTAGCTAGGTGGAGCTCGTGGAGGGACGATCCTTACTCGCGAGATCGAGCTCCGCCGGGAGAGCGAGGTTGCGACCGCGTTGTAATTGGCAGAACGCTGGGCTGCCCAGTCGGATCGGTTGCTTGAGGGACAGTAAGTGGTGATTAAGCTTTTGTAAGCGCAGACGACAGAATATAACAAGCATTCCTTAGCACCGCGCATGTTGGCCAGAATTGCCTTTCCTGGCGTCATTCCGCACCGGTTATCGCACACCATGCTTCATGGCTGGCGATAGCGATTGGGACGTCACCTTGTGGGCCATCAGCGAAACTGAAATGCGGCGACAGCCCGCGTGATCGCCCCAGTAGCGGCTATGCCCCGTGAACCTGGCGCGATCCATTAGGCGGAATGATCCGTTTGGACGTGTGAGGTACCCGGACGCGCCGGCCGCTGTTAATGGGGTTTTGTAGAACGCCTCCATTCGGATATTAGCACTGGGACGTGAGGGGCTCGGGGTCCTGCTTTCCAGACACCACACTTCGCTAATTAATTGTTCCGAAGAACACCGCACGACAAATGCGACGCATTTGTTGCACGCCTCGTCGGAATTCGACGGCGGACGCTCCGGGCAGAATCACCATCAGCTCCGTGCAAAATGGGCGGCATGCGCTGCGCCACATTCGTCGGCTGCCGGCTGAGGTGGCCACCATGCGCGGGCGGGGCGCGAGACGCCGCCGGCCCGGTCCGCGCCCGTCCGGCCCCCCGCCGGTCGGCAATCGACCATTGCAGGGCAGCGAGCCCGCCGGCGGCGATCAATAGCCGTGCACGTGGTCACGACCGGCCCAAGTCTGCTCGCCGTCTGTAGATCGGCCGGCGGCGGTCCGCTCTCGAGCGTGCCGACCGTGCGGGAGGTGCATGCCGAGCGCGCGCGCGCGATGGGGCGCTCTCCGTGGGACCGGTTCGACGTCTACCGACGCTCGGCGTTTCGGCGTTTCGCCTTCTTCACCGGCCTGTGGGGCGTCTGGTGCGAATTTGGCCACGCACGACCCAGTCCCCCTAATGCGTACGTGATATACTGTAGCGAAGAAGAAGGAAGGCGGTCTACAGCTTTGGCCCGGGTCAGTTTGCGTCGTCTTGCGCGGTTGACCTGTGCGGATGGTCCAGCCAGGTCAAGTCACGTTTTCCCCGTGCGTGCGAAGCTTTGCATGTGTCCGCGGAAGAGAGCTGGTACAAGTCAAGTTACTCCACTGTTAACCTCCACGGGTAGTATGAGGTCACCCGAGGTCATCCCATGACCTCCCTTGGCCCTGAAACCACATGATCTTGCATCCGCGATCTTCACGTTCAGTGATGATAATGTTGCGGTGTGGAGGTGTACCATTAAAGCCCCTTTGCTTTTGGATTGAAGACTGGGTTACACAAATACGTCGCGGATTGTCGTTTTTCAGCACTTGCTGCGCTGCATTTTGAAAACGTGGAAACGTAATCAAGAGATGCTGGATCAATAGTTCCTGCCGAATTTTGCGAAGACGGAGTCGGCGCTGGCGTCACGAAACTTTTTGTAGGGCAGGCAGGCTAGTGCTCGTAGTTGGCCTCCGGCTTAAAGAAGCCCAGTGCAAATGGTCCTTAGTATGGCCCTAGCTGCTTTATGATATGCTACCCAATCATGCCCGGATGCTTCCTGGTAACATCGACCAAGCCAAGCTCGTCATCTGTTTCATCTGTTTTTATGTCAAAATCGTCCGTCAATCCTCTTAAGCACTGAACAGCCGAGTTTGCTTTCGGACATGAACTTGAAAACACTGTCAAGTGCGTGACAGATTTTGCGATTTCATAAACACCACGTTAGCGCTCATAAGTTCAACGAAACATTGCAAATCGTCTGCACCTCCGAGTCCCAGGTGACGCGGGTGCCTCCTCTCGGTTACATCCAGAGCTTGCGTTCAGTCACGACTTGGCCAGCCCCGAAATATGAAGTGTTCCTCCTCTTAGTCCGAAGAGGTCCCACCGCGTTTTCACCTAGTGAACTGTACTTAAATGGATCCTTCACCCTGTGTTTTTTTGGAACACTTGGCGCGAATCTGCCATCGCAATTCAGTCGGAAAAGTACTACACACGGACACTACTACACACTACGTACACGTATACTATATACACACGCACACATACACACGCACACGCACATGCACACGCACGCACGCACACACACACGCACGCACGCACGCACGCACGCACGCACGCACGCACGCACGCACGCACGCACGCACACACACACACACACACACGCACGCACGCACGCACGCACGCACGCGCGCGCGCGCGCGCGCGCACGCACACGCACACGCACACGCACACGCACACGCACACGCGCACACACACACACACACACACACACACACACACACACACACACACACACACACACACACACACACACACACACACACACACACACACACACACACACACACACACACACACACACACACACACACACACACACACACACACACACACACACACACACACACACACACATACTGCCAGCAAGGCTCTAAAAAGCACGTCGCGAGGCACACAGATGTGTCACACTCTGCCAGATGTGTTGAGGGTCTCTGCCAGATGTGTTTTCATCCCCGCTCCAAAGCTTATTAAATAGTACGACGCGCATTACCATATCAGGCGCACGCGTCGAAAACTTATCAGCCGGTGGCAGTCACGCTGCCCGTGACCTTTATAATCCTCTCAATTGAAGGTCGTCACGTTCTCGCCTACCTGCTTTTATTCATAGTTCAAACTAGTATATCAGCCATTCCACCCGGATGGGGGGTCAGACCTGTGAGTTTCGGTTTTGGTTGCGGACCTGCTGGATGACAGTTGGTGGCCAGGCCAACTTTAGGCCAGGCGTCACAGTAAAAACGGCGTCATTACTTCGCAAGCATTGTTCCGGCCGGAGGTTACCAAGTTGCTAATCTCAGACGTAAGTCTCCGTAAGTGATATTCTTTATGTTGACGTCGATTCATGTAACGCCCGCGGTCAATGCGAATAGTTGACTCTGCGAAAGGCCACGCGCTGGGCTGTCCCATCCGACGCTCGATCCCCACGTTGGATGAGACTACTGAGGCGGTGCTGCGTACCCTGGGATTGGAGGCGCCACGTGCGGTGCTCTGATCCCACTGTGACCTGACCTTGCAGAAACCTGACCTGCCTCGGCCTAATCCGACCTGCCGCAGCCGGACCCGGCCCTCCATGACCCGGCTTGACCTGACCTGCCGCGGGACGATCAGACATGCTGCGGCGCGTCAAGCGTCGGCGCCCCCCCCCCCCCCTCCCCCTGACCCGCCTTGCCCCGGGCCCGCCAGGTGCACGGCACGGCGCCGGACATCGCTGGCCAGGACCTGGCCAACCCGACGGCGCTGCTCCTCTCGGCCGTCATGATGCTCAGACACATGGAGCTGACCGACCTCGGCGACCGCATCGAGACGGCCTGCTTCGACGTCATCCGAGAGGGCCGCTACCGCACCGGCGACCTGGGCGGCTCGGCCAAGTGCTCCGAGTTCACCAACGCCATCTGCGACAAGCTGTAGGAAGCGCGACTGCCGGTGTCGCCCGCAGGCGGCGCCGTAGTGCTGCAGGTAGCAACCCGAGTGAAGACAGATCAACTCAGTGCAATTCAATCAGTCTCCCGTCGCAACAGTGGCCACGTCTCCACGGCTTAGGACAGTTCGCCGTCTGACCGTTGCCGCGCCGCTCCCCATGCGGTCGCTTGCCGCGCTATTTATTACGGCGTTTCGCGCGGCTGGCCCGAGATGACGCCGTTGCTCGGTTTTACTCCTCCCCATCCTCCACCCCACCTCCCCCACCCCCCACTCAGCGAGCCGGCAGTCTGGGAGGGTGACGCCGGCGACGCGCGGGGTGCCTTCGGCCAGCCGCGCCAGCTCGTGGAGGCCGGAGGTCTGCCGCCGCCGCCGCCGCCGCCGCCACCACCGGCGTCTGCATAGTGCAATCTATTTAGTCAACACTCGGGCTGTTGTCGGTGTCAACAGGAGGCGAGCGGAATTGCGCTCATCTGGAGAGCGCGCCGACGGTGTCGGCGTCAGGCAGCCGCCGGGAGCCCATCTCCTCCCCCCCCCTCCCCGTCACCTCGTCGGTCGGCCTGCCGGGCCGTCTATCGTGCCGGCTGGGCCGGCGCCGCGCCGCCTCTCTCACCCGGCCGATTGTTTCGCCCAGTGCTCCGTCTCCGGCCGCCGGCGGCCTCATGGCTGGCGCGCGCGGACCGAGCGGCCCGGCTGGCCGGCCGCCGCGCCACGGGCACGGAGGCGGCAGGACACCGTTTGTCGTATCGCCGCCACAGCAGTGGCAGACGGGATCCCTTCCTTGTCTCTGTCATATTTTCTTTTATATTATCTATATCTATATATATATATATATATATATATATATATATATATATAACTCGCTCTCTCCCTCTCTCTCTCTCTCTCTCTCGCTCTCGCCCTCTAGCTTTCGCTCTCTGTCTTGCACTCCCGTCTTTTCTTGCCTGTTATCGTCCTTCTCCTTTTTCCTCGCCTTTCATCTATTTCCGCTCTCTCGTTCTCCTCTCCTCTCCCTCTCTCGCCATTCCCGCATTTCTTGTTCATCTGTGTTCGCCTCCACACCCAGCGTCTGGCGTTGTCTGATTCCATCAAGCAGTATTTGTTGAGCTCGACTGGTCTCTGTTCGCGCCGTTTTCGGCCATCCCGCGCGCCGTCCGCCGTCGTATTGGCGCGGTTTTCAGCGCGCGCTCCCACCATATGTGGGCGTCGGCCGGCTGTCGCCTGGCGTGTGGTGCGTGTGAGGACTGCTCTGTGACCACGGTCACGCCCTCGGCAGTGCGCGCTCGTGTGCCCGGTGGTTGTTACGTGGACGGTGTGAATACACTGCGTTCGTGGGAGGACTGCGTCTTGGAGGTCGCTACCGGCGAACGGCACGGGATGCCCGGCCGGCCGATACTAACGCTGGTGCTGAACGCGCTCCGTGGCAGCAACACGCGATAGGCGAGGCGTCTGCCGCGCCCGGACCGGCTGGAGGGGAGGGGGGGGGGGGGGAGATCGCGTCGTTCCGGAGAACATGTGCCGGATCTTTGGAGGTGATCCGCGGCCGGTGCACGTACTCGCATACTGATGAGCGCGGCGCGGCGGATGGCTCGTTGGTTCTCAGGCTCGCGTGGCTCTGCTTTTAGATCGACGCATGAATACTGTAGCGCGCAGGATCGATTTCAGATACGTACCGTCGCCGTTGGCATTCGGAGAGTTGTTCTAGTTCGCTTGAAAACTAAAAATGTGTCAATGTTGATCTCGGTTTGAGGCAATAGTCCCCCAGCACCGCTTAATGTCGGTATTTGTACTTTTACTATGAGTATAAATAGACCAATCAGTACTTGTTTTTAACAAATCAGAATGTCATGTAGCGCTTTGAATAATTATGCAATATTCATCTATATGTCATCGTATTCATCACTTATTTCACTATCCGTTCGTTTTGTCCGCGAACCTACGGCCAGAGGACTTGTATCTGCTTTTGTACGCCGGAGCTTGACCGCTACAAGTGACAGAAAGAGCTGAGATTATGGTCCTGTGAGGTGATTCGTGACCGAAGTCCTTGGCTTGACGATGAATTCGTTTTAAAGTTTGAACAGGTCATTTGGATAGCTGTGGTGCATTAATTATGCGTGGTACCATGCTCCTGCCAGCAGCCAAGGCATGCTTTCAGACAATGGCGTGCTGTTTTTGCACATGATATCCCAGGACATACGAGGCATTTGGGCCTTGAAGTCGCCAGTTTAACTACAGAAGCCGACCGACGTCCACTTGCACGAACCGGGCGGGCACGTGCGCTCGGCGTGTCCAACAGTCGTTTGGTGTCTGTGCAGCCAGCCTCTGCTCTATACCAAATCACTGCGCTCTATGTCTGATACGGAAAACCGATTAAACAGTCATTTGGTGGCTGGGACTTGTTTTCCTTCCGACACGTCAAATGTCAGAGTTCACCAGCTCACTGTCGGAGCCTGAGCCGATCCCTCATCTTTGGCCGGCTGATATGGCAGTCGTGTGACAAGCGCCGCCGACTGTTTGCTCCATTCCCCCACTTTGTCCGCGATCGGTGGTGCCGTCCCTGACGCCGGCCGTCGTAAACGTCCGAGTTCCGCCAGTATTGCCGCGCTCGTTAAACAGCGCCCGTTTGGACAGCGGCCGGCGCGCGGCGCCGCCGCCAAAATGCCGGGCTCGGTCCATTGTTCATTAAGCGGGTGGGCCGAGACAGTCAAACACGCCACATTGCAGCGGTGGCGCGTCGCTATGCGGTACACCGCCGGACGTGGCCTTTGCGGTGCCGGCGCCGCTGACGGGCCGCGGTAGTTCGGCGGGGCGGGGTCCCACCGCCGCCCCCCGCTATGTCGGCCGGCGCCTCGCGGCGGTCCCCTCGCCGTGGGGCTCCTGACGTCGCTACTCCCAGACACATTGCAAGCTTGACCGACCTCTCGTCACCGACTCCGATCCGCGAGCCGCGTTCGTAGGCGCCGGTGTGAGTCAACACCAGCGCGCCGCGCCGGGCTGCCGGGTCGGGTGAGCCGCTCGTGGGGCCTCGGCCGGGACAGGCTGCGTCGGGTGCGCGGCTTATGAGGCCTCGGCTGGAGCAGGCCGGGTCGGGTATGGCGCTTATCGGGCCTCGGCCGGGACAGGCCGGGTCGGGTGCGCCGTTCATCAGGCCTCGGCCGGGACAGGCCGGGTCGGGTGCGCCGCTCATCAGGCCTTGGCTGGGACAGGCCGGGTCGGGTGCGCCGCTCATCAGGCCTCGGCTGGAACAGGCCGGGTCGGGTGCGCGGCTCATCAGGCCTCGGCTGGGACAGGCCGGGTGGGGTGCGCCGTTCATCAGGCCTCGGCCGGGACAGGCCGGGTCGGGTGCGCCGCTCATCAGGCCTTGGCTGGGACAGGCCGGGTCGGGTGCGCCGCTCATCAGGCCTCGGCCGGGACAGGCCGGGTCGGGTGCGCGGCTCATCAGGCCTCGGCTAGGACAGGCCGGGTCGGGTGCGCGGCTCATCAGGCCTCGGCTGGGACAGGCCGGGTCGGGTGCGCCGCTCATCAGGCCTCGCGCCGCCGTTCGTCGCGTCCGGCTTCTGCGCCCATTCGGCTCGGGCGGCACGGCCAATAAAGCCGGGGTCGGCGCCGAATGGGCGAGGAACTACCGATCCAGGCACGGTCCGGCGACCGGGCCGCGCGCCGCCAGCCCCGGGGACCGGCCCGATGACCTCGGTCGGGGTCGGACGCGCCCGCCTCGAGCGGCGGCCGGCGCGACCTGAGCAGGTCAGAGGCTAAGTGGTCGGGACGCTTTGCCCGCGATGGGGCCGAGGCCAGTGGCTCCATCGCATGAAGTCTCGATGTCACAGCGAGACTAAGGGTCGGACAGTGTCTTGTGCGATGACGCCGATTTACGACCCGAAACCGGCATGATGACGGGAGAACATTGCAGGCAACACCTGACTTCGTTTGCGCTTAGTGTGCGTCACATCTGCGTCTGTCACCTTGTCGGCCTCTACTTTATATGTAACCCCAAGCTTTCCTTTTTTGAGAAATGACGCTTTTGATGTTCTGATTGATGCCCTCTATGTCGCACGTACTGTGCGAGCGCGCGAGCACAGCGCCGGGGCGCCCGTAACCCCAATGCTTGGCATCACCACCAAGGGCCCAGCTCGGTGGTCGAGGTGGGATTCCGTGACGGCGTCGCACTGTAGCTATGGTGGTGCTCGATGACAGTCTCATGCCCAGGTCCTGGTGGCAGGCTCACATCAAACGGCTGCGTAACAGCATGGGTCGGGCTAGGTCCGTGGACTGATACCAGCGGCCAGGGTGAAGCCTGTGATACCGTGTGACATCAGAAGTCGGGGTCGGACCCCGTGATCGGGTTACGCCAGGGTGAAGCCTGTGATACCGTGTGACATCAGAAGTCGGGGTCGGACCCCGTGATCGGGTTACGCCAGGGTGAAACCTGTGATACCGTGTGACATCAGAAGTCGGGGTCGGACCCCGTGATCGGGTTACGCCAGGGTGAAGCCTGTGATACCGTGTGACATCAGAAGTCGGGGTCGGACCCCGTGATCGGGTTACGCCAGGGTCAGGGTCAATGTCGGGGTCGGATCCCGTGATCAGGTTACGCCAGGGTCAGGGTCAAAGTCGGGGTCGGACCCCGTGACCGGGTTACGCCAGGGGCAGGGTCAAAGCCGGCGGTTACAACGTACGCTGACGCTGGTGGGAGCAGGCTGCTGTTGGACAGTGTGCCGATGGGAGTGAGCCGCTGTCGGGCCGTGTGCCGATGGGAGTGAGCCGCTGTCGGGCCGTGTGCCTGGGAGCGGGCCGCTGCTTAAAGTGTGCCGGTGGTAGCGGGCCACCATCGAGCCGTGTGCCGGTGGGAGCGGACCGCTGTCGGGCCCTGTGCCGAGGGAGCGAACCGCTGTCATCCGGTGTGCCGGGGGAGCGAACCACTGTCAGCCCGTGTGCCGGGGGAGCGAACCGCTGTCATCCCGCGTGCCGAGGGAGCAAACCGCTGTCATCCCGTGTGCCGAGGGAGCAAACCGCTGTCAGCCCGTGTGCCGGGGGAGCGAACCGCTGTCATCCCGTGTGCCGGGGGTGCGAACCGCTGTCATCCCGTGTGCCGGGGGAGCGAGCCGCTGTCGGGCCGTGTGCCTGGGAGCGGGCCGCTGCTTGAAGTGTGCCGGCGGCAGCGAGCCACCATCGAGCCGTGTGCCGATGGGAGCGGACCGTTGTCAGCCCGTGTGCCGGTGGGCTGGGCCGCTGTCAACCCGTGTACCGGGGAAGCGGACCACTATCAGCCCGTGTTCGGGTGGGATAGGGCCGCTGTCAGCCCGTGTACCGAGGAAGCGGGCCGCTGTTAGCCCGTGTGCCGGTGGGAGTGGGCCGCTGTCGGCCCGTGTGCCCTGGGAGCGGGCCACTGTCAGCCCGTGTGCCCCGGGAGCGGGCCACTGTCAGCCCGTGTGCCCTGGGAGCGGACCACTGTCAGCCCGTGTGCCCTGGGAGCGGGCCACTGTCAGCCCGTGGTGCCGGTGGGAGCGGGCCGCTGTTGGGCCGCGTGATCGCCGCTCTCCATCTCTGGCCCGTCCGCCCCCGGCGGAGCACCGGTCCGGCCGTCGGACGTCACCGGTGCCGCCATGGCCGTATTTATGGCGCCCGGCCGCCCTCTCGCTGGCATGAGCCGCGCGTGTCCGCCGTTAAGAGGCTGCGGGCTGGAGGGCGCTCTCCACGTAATGGCACATCTCGCGTCCTCGTTGATCCTCCGAGGATCGCCCAAACTCGCGCCAGAGGGTGCTCTTCCACGTTATGGTCGACCTATCTCGGGTGATGAATCTACGCGCCCACTGAACGCAGGGTAGAGATGAGTACGCAAGCAGAAGATAGTGCCGTTGGACCGCGGCCCAAACCAAACTTGCTCCGTTTTGCTAAGAGAGAAGAGGATTCGTATGCGGGAGGAATTCAACAGACCGAAACTGACTTCAGATGGCTATGCGGGAAATCGCAAGGTTCCCTCTCAGACTCATGCTTGACTGCTTGTGGAGTCGAAGTCCGCTCCAGTATCGAACAACTTTGCGGCGAGTCAAGATACGAATGACCGGTTTCAAATTTGTGTGAGTTCTAGTCGCGGATGAGCCCACCGCAATGACTGAAATCATCGATAAGTCGGCTGAAATAGCGAGCCGAGAGATCCTCTCAGATGGACAATAACTATACAAAACATAATGAACAGTGGTTTCCACTAGCTGTGTTCGTTTCATTGGTGTCACACATCGGACAACCTTGGTATCATCATCAGCTCATGACGTAACATGCGCTCTTACATATTAAACGATGATCGGGTAAAACCAAGTTTAATAAACAGGGACTTCATCGATGAAGTTTACAAGGCGATTTTTTGTGTGCACATTTAGGAGCATCGTACGTGGGTCCCAGGGGTGGAATTTTTCAAATTAGTTAGAGGGAGGGGGGGGGCGTAAACAGT